GTCCGGTCTTCGGGTCCTTCCACTTATCAAAATTGTTTTGCATTAGGGAAGATTTACTTTCCATCTTTAAAATGGCAGATGTATAAGTAGGAATGTAGGATAATAAGAGAAGATGAAGATGGAAAAGAGTTGGAGAAGAGGTGTAAAAAAAAGTTAAAAAGTAGATGTATTTATAGAATTTTTTGAACCCCACTTCCCACACCACCACCCCCGGGACCCCCCTACCCCCCACCCAAAGCCCAAACGGCTATTTTTTAAAATATTTTTAAATATTTTTTATTTTAAAATTATACATATTGTAAAATAAGTTAATTAATTTAATGAATTAAGTATAGCTATTTTTACTTAGAAAAGTGGTTTGATTTATAATTTACAAATGTTACAAAATAGGTGTATTTAAACAAATTACATATTGTAAAGCTATTTTTAATTTAAAAACACCCTTTAGAAAATTAATTGTAAGTTGTAAGTTTGTAACCAATTAATTAATTTGAGAAGTGCTACATATGAAAAAGTGAACGCATATTTATTTGAAATATGAAGTACAAGTTTACAAGTTACAATTGAGAATTGAGGGAAAGATTAAAACATGAAATACATTTTATAATAAATTCTAAAATACTAATCAATCGAAATCTCCGGCATAGGTAGAGCCACCATCGGTTGTTGAGTCATCCATAAAGTCTTGGAAGGGGGTGATGCTCATTTCTTGAGTTTTACGTGCGGCCTTCAATCAATCGTGGTAGCATATAAGCGTCTCAAGAGAGTTTGCGCTCAATCTCGTTCTAGATGCCGTTAGGACGTTGCCGGCTGAACTAAATTCTTGTTCCACGGCAACTGTTGAAACCAGGGCATTGATAGCACTTGCTTAGCCATCCGTGCTAAAATCGAGAACGTTCTTTCTTTTGACTTCCACCACTTTAGAACGTCAAAGTCATCATTTTATTCAAATTCAACTTCATATGTTAAATACAAAGTAATCTCATTTATTGCACTTTGTTTAGTAGGGTGAGTTGTTGTAGTTTTTTTCATAAGATTGCCAAATGCAGATTTAAAAATTGATTTTCCTTTAGATGAAGATGTTCGTGTCGGGGGAGGGGTGCGTTGCCATATTGTGCACGAAACTCATTAAATAAAACATAAAATAAAGCACTAACCTCGTTGTATTCCGTTTTCGGATCTATGGGGTTATCGTCATACATTGGAAATTCACCAAAAAAAGAAAGATAATAGAAGTTGAAACAATATTCCAAATTAGCTAGTCTAAAACGAGGATCGAGAATAAATGCAATACCATAAATATGCGGAATATGTGCATAATATTTTTAAAAAAATCCTTCATAAAATTACAAAAATAATTCACGTAAACGTCATTCTCAAATTCTCTAAAAGCACCGGCGAGATTAACAGCTTCACAAATAAATTGGTTTGCGGTGGGTTTATAAACATGACTAAAAGTTTCAGTTGCATTAAAAAAAAATCAAAACATTATAAATTTTTTCGCAAGTGTAGATCTCAGCCGAGTTTATAATATAGTTATCATGTTGTTTTAAAAAGCAGGAAAATGTTCTTTATATCTAAGAACAACTTTAAGTATTTTATAAGTACTATTCCAACGAATACTCAAATCTTTAGGAAAAACAACATATCTCACACCGCTTTCAGTCAAATAAGTTTGTCATTACGTCTACCCCCCCCCCCCCCCCCCGACTACCTCCATAGCATCTCCTAACGCTTTTAGACCGTCTTGCACACATAAATTTATAACATGGCATGCACAACGCTGATGAAAAAATCTACCCATCAAAGTATTGGCACCACACAATTCACGCAAAACAGGTAGCAGCAGTATTATTAGTAGCATTATCGAAACCAATAGCAAACACCTTATCAATCAAATTATACTCAATTAAAATACGTTCAATCAAAATATAAATATGTTCAACGGTGTGACGATCATTAAATTCACGAAAAGCAAGAACACGTTTATGCATATTCCAATCCTCATCAATATAATGTGCAGTCAAACCCAAATAATTTAAATGATGAAAATCATCCTCCCATATGTCAGAACAAATAGTAACACGCCCATCAAAGTTTGCAAAAAAAAATTTGTAACCTTGCCTTTTCCGCACCATAAAGCCTTATAATTTCTTTCTTAACAGTTTTGCGACTATAACCTCTAAATTGAGGATTTAAACTACCGCATGCATAATCTATTAAAACAAGACTTTCAGAAAACATATAAGGCAAATTTACTTCACAAATTAAGTTAGCCATACCAGTCAAATTTTGTGCATCATTGTATGAGAAATTACCAAAATGTTGAGAATTCGCAAACCTCGATATTTGAGTTTGCTTCCCCGTTCCGCCGCCTAATTTTGCATACTGTACGGGGTGCTTTGCCTTAAGATGCCTTGCGGCGGATCCGTATCCGCCGGAGGTCCCCAAGCTATAATTTTTGTTGCACCACTTGCAAGTCGCGTGCCAATACCCGGTTTGTGCGTCCTTCCACTTATCAAAATTATTTTGCATTAGTTCAGATTTACTTTTTTTTATTACCGGTTTGGGATGAGGCAAGCTCGTCGGCGTATTGGCTGCCGCCACCCTCCTCCTCGGCCGTCTCCGGTTCCATTTCCTCCGCATCTTCATCCTCAAGCTCATCTTCGTCAATGGTCGTTGGGATTTGTTGTTGTTGGAGAAATCAGTTATTATGTTGGGCCAATTCTTGTTGTAGTTGTTCTTCGGACATCGCATCTCCATCCCTCCTTTGGTAACCCGTTTCAAAATCATCTCGGCTTTGAGATGAAGAGCCGGCAAGTTCTTTAAGTTTGCGGGATTTCCTCCTCCCAATCTCGTTCCTTCGGTTGTGCTCGAGGTTACTCATATCAACCGAATATCTACCACCTTTCATCTTAAAATGTAACAAATATTAATTTGCAACAAATATAATAATGAATACAAAGGTAATGCAACTAATTAAAACTATTTTAATTAATACTTCAAACTAATTTAGTGAAAACTACTTTAATAAAATGTGAAGTACTTTAATTAAGTAATGAATTAAAGTGTGACTAAAATAAATATTGAAATTCGAACTAATCAATAGTATTTTTTAATAAATATAATTAACTAAATACTTAAAACTAACAAGTGTGACTTTAACTAAAATGTGAGTAATTAAATTATAGCAACTTTTCAAGTACTTTAATTTAGTGAAAACTACTTTAATAAAATGTTAAGTACTTTAATAAAATTATTGAACTACTCTTTTTTCGTTCAAATATAAATTCAAACTATTACAATGTGACTTTAACTATAATGACAATTAACTAGTTTTTTAAAGTAGAGTTATTTTAGCAATTAATGGGAATACTAATTAACTAGTTTAATGAAAAATGTAACAATTTGTGAGAATACTAATTAACTAATCAAGTAATGTTAATACAAAATGTAAGTAATAAGACAAATGTATGAATGTGTATACTAATTAATGGGAGTAAATGAGTAATAGAATGATTTTAACTAATATTAATTAAAGTGTAACTAATATATAATATATTGTTTATAGTATATAATATATAAGTATACTACTATAAGATGAGTAATACACTTATATTTAATACTTTAATATATAAAGTATATTAAGTAGATATGGAATGTATGTATTAAGTACATATAAGTAGATAATAAGTAGAGATTAAGTAGATAAGAAATATAAGTAATATAGTATATGTATTTAAGTAGATAATTAATATATAAGTAGATATAATAATTGTATAAGTATTAAATAGTAAAATAAAATATAATGGAGAATAAGAGAATTTGAGAAGATGAATATGGAGATGAGTAGAGAGTAGAGAGTAGGATTTAAGAAGAGTTGGAGAAGAGGTGTGAAAAAAATGTTTAAAATTAAGAGTATTTATAGGTAATTTTTTAACCCCCCACCCCCCACACCCCACACCCCCCCCCCCAAAGCCCCAGACCACCCTCGTACCCATAACCCATCCAACGGCTATATAGCCATTTGGGATGTGGGTCAAAGAGCCAAACGGCTCTTTACAATTTAAAGGATTGTTTTTTAATAAGGCCGCTAAGGCCCGGACCAGTTAACTTGCAAAAATCATTTGACGACCTTCCCGATCGAATTTTGAGCTGAAATTTGGTATGGACAAACTAGACTTGATGAAGAACATGCTCAAAAAAATTCATCAAAAAGTTCCACCAGGAAGGTGCCCAAACGGGCTCGGCCGGACGGGGCAGCCCGTCAGGCCGGCCTGATGAGAAGAGCTCTCTACATTATCATACCTAAATACTAGTATAAATTGTTACAGAAAACAAGTATATTTTAGAAATATTTGCAAATTTATGATTGAAATAAAGCATGTTAACAAAAATATAATTTGGAGTATGGGCCTTTAAAAAAAAGAATGTCTACATATAGCACAGGCAATGACAAAGGCACAGATATGGTGAAGCCTCTCCAAATGCCAATAACGGAAAATGGCGATCGCCATTTGCGCCATTGATTACTCTGGTTTAGTGCTGGACTCGGGCCAGGCCTAGGCCCGACCGGGCCGCCGGTTAGGAAATGTTGGACCCGGGACCGGCCCGGGTAGCCACCGGGTCCGGGTCGGGCCTCGGGCCTTCTACATCTTTTTCCTTTTTTCTAATTACCCCCCCGACCCCCCCCCCCCCCCCCCGACCCCCCAAACCACCCCAAATGGCCCAAAATACCCAGCCTAACCCGGGGATTTAAAAAAATGAAAAAAACTAAACCCGGAACTGGGCCCGAACCGGCCGGGCCGGTTCATGTTTTGGGTGACCCGAGCCTGGACCGGAAACCCCTCGGGTCGGCCTACCCGGACCGGTCACTGGGTCGGGCTGGGCCGGAACAGTGCCGGTCCCGGACGGGTTCCGGGTCGGGCCACCCGGCCCAAGTCCACCACTACTCTGGTTAAGGTCCTTCGTTAGAGGAACAAAATGATACAAAGGCAGCCATTAGACAGCGAGATATGCATTTTAACAACGATTATAAATGTGGCAGATCTACAACAGAATCGAAGTACAACTGTTTTTTAAACAAAAATTCTTGCATTTAATAATTGTAAATGATCAAGGGACCAAAAACAGAGCAGCTTTCACCAACCAGCTAAATTAAGAGCAGGGGTTCAAAACCCCCCGAAGATAACATCTGTAACATGTGGAGGAACTAATAAAAAAGGCACTTGAATATCATCTCAACTTTAGACCATCAAGCCATTTGAGCGATGGCATGAGCTCAAAGAGCAACAGCTTTAACTTTTCATCATCAGAAACAGCATTCCCCACCATATCCAGTTGGGTCAAACTCATTTTTTTTAAAACCAACAGCACTTGCAAATAATCAGTAGTCACTAATTCCTCGATGTTACATGTGCTCCCACTAGAAAGGCACAGGGGTGAAGAAGAACAAAGGTACCTCTTCGTGTCAATTGAATGTGAGCCAATTTCATTGTATGAGATGTCCAATACTTTTAGAGCTCTTAGCTGCCTGAGAGGCTCTAATGCAGTGAAACTGCTAAGCAAGTTCTCGCTTAGGTTTAAGCAAACTAGTTGCTGCATTGCCTCCAAACCTGCACCTACATCCATTACAAATAGTGGTATAGTAGTCTTGAAAGTCAAAATCGTTTCCAGTTATCTTTATTGAAAAAAATCAGCTTAGACATACAAAATAGGCAAATTCATGCTACCCATATTGAAGTAAAACAACATGCATGCACTGATGAAAACAAAGGATTGCAATAAACTGACATGCCATGTTTGGCAAAAATTTGAAGGGGGAAATCCAGAATGTGTTTAGCGAGAACCTCAGAGAAGCTAAAAAGAACTTATTAAAAGACTCCCTCTCCCCGCCCCTATCAAATGAAAGAAAAAAACAGTAAAAGATACAAGTAATTATTATTACAGAGAAAGTACTTCCTAATCAACTATAGCAAGATAGTAGTCAATTAGCAATAATGTGAGAAGTGGGATTTTGTACCTTCAATGGACCGAAGCTGATTGCAGCTAAGATCTAGGATTTGGACCCACAAAAGTTTCTGAAAACAACCAAGTCGGGTAAGTGAGAGATTATTTAGCCGCAGGCATAAATAATTATGGAAGATTGAAGATGGTTCTTGATATTGTCGACAACACTCCAGCAATGACTTTTGATTGCGGAATAACTGCAGAAGGACAATAAGAAAATGAAGACATTGTAGCAAATTCTGTCGTTATATTATATGCTCCCTGCATCCAAGTCTTGCTTGGTCAAAGTAAAGTCTTAAAAGTCATGGAACCCTATTAATATTTTTTAAATTAAATTTGACAGATTTACTAAATTTATCATAATGAACTATTTTGTACCTATATTGGAAAATTGCATGAAATATTAGTATATTACATCGATTTTAGGAAATATGATTCTAGGTCGGGATGGGAGGGGGGGGATAAAAAAACAGTTTTTATAAAATTTATCTCCACATTGCTTATTTGAAGTTCATAGATAAAAAGAAGCAGTTAATTAGTGTACACTTAAGCCCTCTAGGAAACTTCAGGTACTGCGCTTGTTTTGGAGCTTATTTTCCCCAAATAGTGAAATCTGAACAAAACTCAAAAAATGTAATAAATGGCGTTCAGAAGGCCACATGAGAGGGAAAAGTTTTCCAGAAGCTCCAAAAGAGTTTCTTTTTGGACGCTTATCAGTTTGATGAATGAGCAAATAACAATGACAAGTTCTATTTCATGCATATGACAAAAAAACATTCTTAGCTGATCCACAGGAGGAAAGTTTACATGTTTTAGCAAAACAGAGCTGTATTCATCTTTATAGTGCTGAATGTGCGGTGGATCCAATCTCATTAAATCATCGTACAACTGAAGAACTTCTTCATAGTGATTGCCAGCATTTGTGCCATCACATGACAGCAATTTGTCACGTGCCATCAACAATCTTGCAAGTGTTAACTTTCCAATTTTACTGCACAGAAAAGCGTTAATTTATAGAGAAGATCTTATATAAATACAGCATGTTGAGCATTCCAATGCACATAGCAGATAAAGGCATGAAGCTTACCAATTGTCCAATGATAATAGCTCCCTGCAATGAGCTATCTCACTATCAACTATCTGAATCTTCCAATCCAAGTCCCTTTCTTTTCCATCTATAGGTATTCTCAATTGATGGGATGCGTTAAATAATACTGACTGGGGAGAAACAGTTTCATTTCTACAGAACTTTTCCTCCGTTAGAAAAATCCTCTCTTCATTTTCTACTGGTATATGTTCTGAATTCTTAGGGGGTACGTGTACGGTAAAGGTTAGTTCAGTAGAACCACTCATGTATACAGAGCCGTTCAAACAAACTATTCCTTGGGAACTGAAAAGGGTTACTTTTACATTATAAAACTCTAAACATTGGACATCTTCTGGAAATCTGACATAAGTTAACCAGGCTTGTGCATACCCAATACCATTTCCTGAGAGTGGTCTCCAAGAAATATCTGTATTCAAATTACCTTCACATTCAACCTTGACTGTTGATGAACTTATATTTTTAACTGCTTCACTAAAGTAGAGAACGAGGGGAAGTGTTCTAGGACTAGACAAAATGTAATTATTATCAAGCAACCCATCCGTTGACAAATGAAGACTAGAGTCATGAGGTGGCCATGAAGAAACCAACAAATTTGTTTTTTTAACTGTCTGGCCAAGAAGCCAGAGATGGTAAAACCAACCACTTTGATCATCTGGATCTGTAAAAAGAGCATTATGAACAAACTCAAACTCTTCTGTCAATACACTCTCCTTGGGAAAAAATCCTTCTGCCTTCTCCTTCAGCAGCCGACTAAGTAGAACACTGTACAAAAGTCATTTAAAAAATAAATTAGGGAAGGATTACTGTTTAGTGTGTCATAAATACAATATATTGGAAAACCCTCCTGGTGAATAATTTTCTAAAAACATCTGCAGTCGAACTTCTGTGTTTTGAATGAATGCATCGTGTGTGTGTTAATTAGGCCCCTCTCTTCTCAATCAGACAGTCAAGGATCATTGCATTGTACATACTCCCTCCCTATTTTTTTGTTTGCTACAATAGGGGTTGGCACAATTTTTAAGAGTGAAATAGTAGGGGTAATGAATAATGTAGAAAAGGTAGGAGAGAAGGTGAAGAAGTATGAAAGAGAAGATAAAAAGTAGAAAAAGTAAGGGTAGTTGAGTATTTTTAAAGGAAAAACTTACCAAAAAGGGAAAGTGTAGCAAATTTTTGAATACATCCAAAAAAGGAAAGTGTAGCAAACAAAAAAATACTGAGGGAGTATTTTGTATGACCACGAAAACTCTATATTTTACAATTTATTCCCTAAAGATGCATTGATGATTGTTAACCAAGCATTCATTAAAATCAATAGAATAATGTTGAGTTCAAACAAGGATGATTGTATTCAAAGATGACACATTATTATTAACCACAAACATTGGTAGATGTAATCACAGTATACCTACGGTTGTGCCAAGCAGAATAATTGCTAAAATCGTCTTTTATCATGTCTGTTGTATATTGTAGTTCATCCTTATCTGGAATTTTCTTCAATGATGTAATAAACCTGAAAGAGCATATCAAAGGGAAATATGATAACATGCTAAAGCCTCTCAATTATACCAATAAAAAATATCCAGTAATATGACCTCCTATAATTCCAAGCATGAAAATTCCGAGAATCTGCCTTCTGGAACTTAGCCAAAAGCAATAATTCTCGGTCAGTGGAAGAATGACCTTTGCTTAGCACCCACTTACGGTGATACCATGCTCCATAAGACTTGTAATTGCTCCGCAATGCATTCTCCACCTAATTAAATTTGTTCATGACTTTAATAAAAAATAAAGAAAAAGCATAAATTAGCATGTACGTAGTATCCCCCCCCCCCCCCCTCAAGCACCAGATTTGAAACAGAAATAGAACTTCCACGTGAACTTTCAAGCTTCAACTAACATACTCAGATAAACCAACCACAATGGTTAAAACCCTAGTGTTATCAGTCAAACTATAGAATTCTACAAGTAGCTTTCTCTTTTGATCTCCCTATGCCCAAATTATAAATAAAAACAACAAAATCTACTCAATAAGTCAATAGTAAATATAAAGAAAAGCTGCAACTTTATACGATGATAAGCTTAAACATACTAGTCTGAGTTCTTCATCTAGAATAGTTTTGATAGACTCCTCATTGTTAACATTGTCAGATTGATGAAGACGGTCCTCTACAGCGAGCTTCCGGTAATTCCAGGCCGTGTAATGCTCTGGATTAACCTCAAGCAGCTTCGCGCTTACTTCAAGAGCTTCTTTATTATAGCTGCAAAAAGTATACAATATAATTAGAGATTTAATGGAAAAGCCAGGGTCTCAAATTCATGAAATGGAAACTCGAAGTTACTCGGAGTATTGTAGCTTTCATTAAATTAGCAAAAGAAACAATTTCTTTCAGGATATACATTTTATTGTGATGATGGTGGATGAACTGAGCTTGGAGAGATCGAAGATTCGCTGATTTGACCGCAGAAGCTTGTAGCTCGTCTTGGCTTCGAGCTCTTCGTGGTATTCCATGCATTTTTCACACGAATTAGGTCGGAGACCACAGATGAAGAAACCACAGAGGAAGAAGATGAAGAAAAAAGATTCAGGCGACTGAATCAGTGAATGTTTATGTCAGGCGGAATACAGTATTTCCGTGAATGGGAAAAAGTGGTAAACCAAAGTACCAAACATCATGAGTCTGCGGAAGTGCCTATCGCGAGTTGCGTGGGGAAGAGTTTTTTTCCGTCGAGCGTGGATAGACAGGGACGAAGAGAGGCAAAGCAAGCAGGGCGGTCCGTTCCAAGGGCGGAAGGCAGTGCGTGACAGTGTTTCGATTAACGGCGCGTGGGTGAAGGTTAGTAGAGATGACAATAAAGGCCGCAGTGAATATACTTTGAATACAGAAAAATTGATAGTAATAATCCCAACTATTGGTGGTCCGCCCATAATAATCCCAACTATCGATTATTTTAGAATAATCCCAACTTTAGGGACCTTCCGCCAATAGTGATCCATATAAATAAATTTATGTAGTTTCTAAAGTGGATGAGGAGTGATATAGTAAGTAATCCCTATAAATAATCTCAACTTTTAATTTTTACACTTAATTTCTATTTAAAATTCACTTTTTATAGGAGGTAATATATGACCATGGACCATTATTGGCGGACGATCCATATAGTTGGGATTATACAAAAATAATCAATAGTTGGGATTATTATCAGCGGACCGGCAATAGTTGGGATTATTATTTTCAATTTTTCCTAAGGCTTAAAGAACAATTTAAAAGTTTTTTTGTGATGAAATTCACACTACTAAGTTCTTCCTATTATCTTATTACTCTTATTTTATTCAGATCAGATCAAATTAGATTAGAAAAATTTAGATCAAATCAAATCAAATCAGAAGCATTCAGATCATATAAAAAAGATTCATATCAGACCAGATTAGAAAACATTCAGATCAGATCAGGTCAGAAACATTCAGATCAAATCAAATCAGAAAAGTTCAAACATGATTTATCAATTTTATTTATTTAATAATTATAATAATTATTATATAATAACAATTATTATTATATTATTATCAATAATATTATTTTATGATTATTATTATTATTATTACATTACTATTACTATTACTATTACTATTATTATTATTGTTAATGTTATTGTTATTACTATTATTATTATTTTTGTTGTTGTTGTTATTGTTATTATTATTACAATTATATTTATTATAGTTATTGATGTTGTTGTTTTTATTATTATTCTTTTTGTTGTTTTTATTATTGTTACTGGTGTTGTTATAGATCAGAAAAATTCAGATCAAATCAGGTCAGATCAGAAAAATTCAGATCAGACCAGATCAGAAAATTCAGATCAGAAACATTCATATCTGGTGAAGAGAACAACTTCTAATAATCTTTAGTTTTACCCTTTTTACAATATAATCTCTACATGAAAAATTAACACCAATACTTTTTACTAGTTAGTTGTTTCACAAAAATAATTTCAATGCTAACAGTGTTAATTTTTCCGTTTTTTTTATAATTTTGAATATATCAAAGCAAAAATATGTATAAAAATTAATAATAATATATTTGAGTTTAATCATTTTCTATGATTAATTTAATTTAATATTTTTCATAAAATTTCATAGAAATATCCGTATTAAATGTTCACTATTCTACATAATTTGTATTAATATTTAATGTAGTATTACTAAAATTACTTTGCAATTTTATTATAATGAATAACAAAACTATAACAAATATAAATAAAATATGGATAAAGAATAAAAGAGAATATGAAGAGTATGTACTACTCCCTATGTAAGTATGTAGTGCTTAAATATTTCTATTATGTTTCATAAAAAATATTGGATATTATATTATATTTTTGTTATAAACAAGAATAAACTCAAATATAATATTGCTAATATTTATATGTATTTTCACTTCAATATTTTCAAAGAAAATAACGTAAAACTTAAGACAGTTAACACTCGATTTAAAAAACTAGCGGAAAAGTTAACATCGTTAGCATTCTGATTATTTTTGTAAAACAATTAACTAGTAGAGATTATTGGGGTAAACTTTTCAAGTAGGAATTATAATTGTAAAATGTTTATAAGATGTATTATTGGTGTCAATTTCACCAAGTTTTTTGGTTTGTGAATCCCTCGTAGCCACCGGGCCGGGGCTCCGGGCCTAAAGAGTACCGTGCCAGACCAAGCCTAAATAGTACCAGGACCGGGCCGGGTTGGGCCGACCCGTCCCAATCCATCCCTACTTCCACTCATAGAGCCCCCAAAATTGAGTGAATCCATTGAAATTGGTGAAATTGTGAAGTGGTTGAATATGTTGAAATTGGTAAAAAGCTGAATAATGTGTTTGAATTAACTAAATCGGTTGAAATGTGAAAAGTTATATGGAGTATTTAAAATATATTTTTAATGCAACTAAGAAAAAGTTAAATGAAAAATAACTAAAATAATCATCTACAATAACTTCAGACAATTCAGTAAAAAAAAATAACTTCATAGTTCAAACTAACTTATTTTGATTATGGCACAACTCAACGCTCAAAATTAAAAGTTACTCCGTATGTGTTTGATAAAAATATTGGATGATATGGCTAATAAACTGAAAATAGATATTATCAAACAGGCTAATAGCATACCAACAAGCACCACGAAAAAAACTAGCAAAAGAACGACATGATTTAAATCTTGTCCCAACCAGGAATGAACCCATTCTTGTTTGTCCCACATTCCAAAGAGAGTCCAGTCGGGATCACACTGTTTCCGATTCCCAAAAAAATCTTAACATATGTTCAGATAACTGGTAAAAATACGGAACTGGAATCTGTCAAGACTGGACCTACTTTGGGCGAACCTAAACCAGGTAAAACCAGACACTAGCTCCGGTGCAATTGTGCAAACAAAAATGGACAACAGGCCCAATTCTTTATCCATCCAATCCCAGTCCGGTTCCGAGATTGGAACAAGGACCAGCCTTACCACTACCATTCTAGGGGGGGGGGGGCTAGATACGGAGGTGATTCAGATTGAAGTGAAAATCTTTGTTCTTGAATGTTATGATCAGTAGATTCAGTAGCACTTTGCGAAACAAATGAAGGATGAAAGTTTTAGAGGGGATAAATTAGCATGCGCCTAATGATCATCTAGTTTAGTAGTACAGGCTTGACCAATTTTAAAACTGTCAAAATGATTATGATCAATCTTGATCATACATCCACAGAGAAGTGCTTGTCCCGCCATCATTTTGAGGTTCTCTCTCACACAGTGTAGGGCAGACCATGACTGGATTCACATGCTCGAGCCCTAAAATCGAACCTCCGCCTCCTAAATTTCCAGTTACTTGCAAAATGGTGGCACCTGATTCCGAACCCACCTTATTAGCACCAATATCATCACTGGTCTTTATGTTGGAAAGGAGGTCGCTCTTGTCATTTCTTTTGTCGGATTTCCTCCTTTTGAACCGACCACCTCTACCACTTGCCTTCTTACGACCCCTTTTCTTAGGCTTGAGAGAAGCAGCTGTCTCCTGGTGGCTTATTCCCATAGGATCTGTCACTTTTTTCTTAAGGGGGACAACAGTATATGCGGGGTGGTCAGTGGTGGGGACATTGTTGTTGTTGTTGGACTTGGAAGAGTCCGACTCAATGGCCAATAGAGCGGTCCTTGCGGCTTTTAGCTCTGCTCCTTTTTTTGTTTTCGAGTGTCCCCCGATGTACTTGACTCCTCCAATGTCAACAGTACATGTATAGAAAGCATGATTGCCCATTCCTTTCACTGTTGTGCACTCATATAAAGGGACGGCATAATTCATCTTTTGTGCATATTCTTGTAAGAGGTTTTTGCACAAGCCTGTCTCATGCTGAATAATAGTACACCATCCAAAAATAATAATATAAGGTCAATCTGGGATTTGACGAAGTGGAAACCATAAATTGTAGTCTGGTTTATTTTAGCCTAGTTTACCGATTCACCCTTTTTAACATGTACACCCTCTTCATTAATAAAACTTAGTAAAATGGCTAAGTTTGTTACTTCAAGATAAAATTAGTTATCACCTTAAAAACCACATCTTTTTCTCAAAAAGGTGATTTGAGAACACAGGGAGTATATAGTAATAAATGATTACATTTAAAATTACCTTAGTAGTGACCATGGACAAGCACATTAATTCGTAAATGAAATAACATGTCAATCACTTAATTTATGTGATATTACGTATATAGTAGCTTTTTGTTCTACTTGCACCAATGAGTTAATCATTTTAACAATTTGAAGCTTCATAACCACCATGGACATGCCAACAAGTACTACCCTAGTTGTACCCAAGCAGCACAAAATCTGTTATACAGTTATACTTCTTTATAACTTTGAAGATTTATAGCCAAGAGCCCAAGATGGAGGTGAGTTTCTTAACAAAATCCTAGAACAATTTACTATATAATTGACATCTACTTTGAGATATGGAAGGTTTGTCAAGAATGAACAAGAGAAGCAACAAAAAATGGAATTTCAAAGTTATTTAGCCTATCATCATCAAAGAAAGATAGAAATATACACTTACAACAGGCTGTGAAATGCACTCTTTCATATCACCAACCCGAGATAGCTCCAGGAGAGCAACTTCAGCAGCCGACTGCTCTGCTGCCTTGCGATTATAGAATCCGGGCAGAGAATCATATCTTTTGTCGTTCACCACCACGGTAGACCGAAAAGTGGGTTCATGAGGAAGTCCTTCCTTGATCGTCTCATAGACAGGAGTTGGAAGTCCAACTTTCTGGGCATACTCTTGCAGTCGACTTTTAAATACATAACAGTTCGATACGCCTATAAAAAAACCAAAACAAGAAAAAACATATACCTATCGTTCATAAATTGTACTCTTAGACAGAAAAAAAGAAATTGTTGCAAGCAGCTCCTTGTGGAACCAATGGTCCAATACCAAAAGGGTTAATATCATGCATCCAAGTGTGGAAGCGCCTTCTCATTCACAAACAAAAAGGGTGGAATAATTTATATTAGGGTGGTATAAACTATATGGTGTTAAATATCTAGTCAATTAGTCATCATCTATATTAATAAAAAATGATAACAATATATGGGGCCGTTTACTAACTGGTAAATTTTCCGTTTTTCTGGAAAACAGGAAATGGTAAACTGGAAAACGTGCTTACTCTGAATAAATTACCCTAAATAGGAGTAGAAGATGTCTTAAATAACTAAATAGGACTAGTTAAGCTTTCTTCCCAAAATAGGAGTCACACAATCTTAATAAAAGAAGTC